AAAAAAAAAAAAAAAAAAAAAAGTTCAATTGGAGCATGCGAGGGGAGTGCCTCTTCAGAGTAAAGGCAGGCCGCCACAACTTTTCATGAAGACTCTAGCTATTTCCCTCTGTCTATTTGTGTGCTGAGTGGTGCTGAGGCTGGCTGCGTTCTTCCTCCTCCCTTTGAATCCTATAACCCCTAAACCCTTAAAGCAGTAAGCCCTGAGCACTCCTTTCAGACAAAACCTGCACCTTGAGTACTGTTCCTTCTTTTATCCTCCATACCAGTGCTTGTAACTCTGGCACTGGCAGCTTTAGGTAGTGAAAGTGAAACTCAGTTCCTATGTCCTGTTTGATCGCTGCCTGAGCCCTTTCTCTGTGTCTGGCCTATTTAGCCCTCCTTCATGTTATAGCAGTTCCCTTCACCTATTCCCCATACGTCTCTCTTCCCCTAAACACAGTTCTAATTGAGATCAGCGAGGGTTGATTGTTAATCACCTTTGGAAAGTGCGAGGGGACTAGGTGAAATAGAAGAGGGTCACTGTGTTACCTTCTTACAACTACTGTCTTCACTTGAGTCGAACACCCCATTATAGCCGTATTTGGGTGAACTTTCAGTCTGGATACAGTTATAATGACCGGGCGCTCCGTTAGGTGAATGATGGTAATTCTGGTCAGAAACGGGTCATATAATATTTTGGTCCTTTCCTGCTCCAGAGATCTAACGATAGCCACTGTGAAGATCTATCTTTGTAAACTTAAGGACAAGTGCCCCACAAGATAATCGGCAGCTTTTTTTTGGTGCAAGTTGTCAGAGGATAACTCCTTGTTTTCTCCGCAGTTTGTCGACCTTCTCCTCAATAGTCTCACTATTTTGATTCTATTCACCGTTTCCAGCACGCAGAGAAACGTGCACCTTTACTTCATCCTGGGGCGAGGTCCCACTAAGAACCTGGACCCGCTTGTGGACAGGGGCAGAAAATTGCACTTAATATGCTTTTTTGCATCTGAGCGTAAAACACGTTGACATTCAGGTGCTTAATCCGATCCTCTTTGGTAGTGGGACCCCGGTCACCCTGCCCATGTGCTACCATTCTTCAGGCGGCTTCAACATACAATATGATCGTGTGGTCCAAGTAGTAAGTTGCTAGGAGGCCTGAATCAATGATTGGTTTCCAGGCCCAATCTGAATGAAAATCTCCCTTTTCATACATGATGCCCCTGGGGACTCGGTGTCTATTTTTCGCAGTGCTCAATTTAGCCTACTCTTCAAAACGACTACTTGGCCCGACAATTTTTGAAGCTGGGCCATATACATGCCACAATCTTCGGGTAGAAAATTTCACAACTCCTCTTGTAGTGCGTGGTCCTGGAGGAGTGGGAAGACAATTAGGTGCTGTCGGGGCTGCCATGATGAATTTCATCAACGGCCACCAAAATGCCCCCGAAGGGAGCAGTGCTTGTACTGGTGGCTTAGACTACAAGCGTAAATGACCCTTCCCTTGCCCAGCCAAGAAACGCCTTGCGTGCCAGAAAACAACGAACCAGCGAGTTTTCTGTTTTGGCTGGCGCCGCCAGCCATTTAGCTTCAGTAGACCGTGCCCAGATGTGACGCCCAACCTCACGCCCAGCACGACTTCCTGATCGGAGTGGGTGTAGGCCCGGAAGTGTGACAAAAGGGGGTGTGCCAAGGGTTTTAGGAAAGTGGGGGTGGAGTCTCAGGTCGGAACTGGGATCTCCTGTGCCGGGGTTCCAAGGACAGAAACGTAATTAGTTCGGGAGGGGAGGGCTTCACAAGGCAGTGGGGTTCTCAGGCCCATGCACAGGGCCCGATTGGTGTCTCTGTCTGCGCCGGGCCCGCAAACGGTGCACGAGGGGGACGCAGTGAGTGTCTCGCTGTTCTAATGTGGCGCCTGGGGGACTCACAGAGTTTCGAGTCTGACAACGAGGGCCTTAATCAGAGGCACTTTTCGTGGTGCTCGGCCTTGCTATGCGTTTGGCGGGCAAACCCCAGCACTGGAAAGGTGTAATCCTGTATGCATTCAGAACACGGGGTGTGCGGCCGGAAGGGCGCAATTGCCGACCAAGGGATGACGGTTAGATTGTGAGATGGGAGGACAAGATAGTGAGGGAGAAACTCAGTTTTGATGGCAACAAACCCTGAGTTGGTAAACACCTGCAGCTTCCGGGTGCCCGGATACTGAGTGGGTCGAAGCACCTGCTGGATATCGCACTCACATAGGCGTTCTCCCCCGGTTTGGAGAGGGAGTTCAGGAAGATCTGATCGATAATGACGGGAAAGTACCCGTCTGTCGCATACCGCAAAGGTGCAGACCAGAACAAGAACCGACCTCTCTCACAAAGTACAGATAATCAATGTTGCAATGTAGCCCAAACATACATCATCATCATTCCATGGTGTGAAGGGGCCTGGCGCTCACACAGGAAGAATGCGCCAGTCCCCAACCATACACAGACGAAGAAGAGGGGGGTTAGACGAAGAAGAGGGGAAGATGGGAATGTCGTCAACACCAAGTCTTCGGCACAGGCCCCAAATAATCCCTCGTCAAATGTCTGAATCCCAATGTCGAGTCTGGATCCAATGTTGAGTCTGGATCCAATGTCGTCAAGTCCCAGAGTCACCAATCTCTCTCTCTTGTAGTCTGCAGGTACTGAGAAGTTAGGCAGCGACAGGGTGAGGAGGTGATGGTCTCTCTCTCTCTCTCAGTCCGGTACTAACCTGTGAAGGTGGCGCCTTGT